TTTTTTGCCCCCATAAACACACATACCCATAGACTGCCCAAGTGCTCCCCAGCACATTAGAGGTGACATAACATTATTTCCACTTTAACTTTCTCGACTCAATGCTATGGAATCTCTGCCAAAGAAACACCAACATTCTTTGGCTGAGAAAGCTGAAGACTTTGGGCCCTTCCACACAGCCATCTAACCCAGAATATCAATGCAGATATTCCACAATATCTGCTTTGAACTGGGTTATCTGAGTCCACATTGGCATATAATTAAGTTAATGTAGATTTTATACAGCTGCGTAGAAGGGGCCCTTATAAAACTACCACTCACATGATTCCACAATGGGAGTTAGTGCCAAATTGCATTAATTCTACAAAGTAGATGTCATCTCTCATGGATGACAGTACATCAGTTTAGTTGTTCTAAAGAATTTCACTTTTCCTTTTACTTCAGTTCCAATGATATCCCAATCAGCTGGGGAATTCTGGGAGCTATAGTAAAAAAAAACTTTTCAAAAGTTTAGTATTCATTCTTCATTCCTTCCCCAAACTAGAAGGGTTAAGGACACCTACACAGGATCCTTTTGCTGCCAGAAGAGAGATCAGCAGAGACGTATGGTTCTTCAATAAAAATCCATTTATTTACACATTTACATAATGAGGAAGAATGATAGGTAAGTCAACAATCAGCACAAAGCAATGTTATTTCCAGGTTTACAAAATTCTGGAAGCTCAGAACCCAGCCTGCTTACAGCATGGCTGGAACAAAGTAGGTTTTTTCCCCTTAGGCTTTCTGTTGTGAAAGATTTTTAGTGCCACCCACATTATCACCATTAAACTGAATGAAATTCATTCAGGCAATGCACTGAAGGTGGTTACCCAAACAAAACCATAATTCTTTTTGTGAGGGTGTTTAATCAAAGGAGACTGAATACATTCAGAATAGTGTTGGTTATCAAGATGACCTTGTGCGATAAATACTGCAGTTGTTCACACCAACCATGAAGTTGGAATGGAGTATCAAACAAAGCAAGAGAACCTGTGTAAATGAAAGGATGTCAACAAAATGGAATCTGGCAATCACGTAAATATTTTTTATAATTTCCCACCTATCAACATCCCTTCATATAAATAGTGCCTTAATAGGCTGCCCTAAACCCAATCCAATCTGTTATCCCTCTGAACATGAGAATGAGGATAATTAAAACCTTATTGTTTGCTATTGAAGACAAATGTGCAAAAGACAACACTGTATTAAAAATTATAATTCTATTTACTTTTCAAAGGCTGAGATTGTACTCTATAAACGATCACACTGTTTAACATATTTTCCAATACTGGTTTAAACTTCATCCACTGTGCCACAACTGGTCAGAATCGGAAATGTCCATTTTGAAGAAGCCACATTTAAATATCAAGCATATCAGATATTTGTGTAAATGTTCTATGGTATTTACTGATGTACCATACTCATAACCATGGTTTTATAACTGTTATACATAACATTTCAAAACTTTGTGATGCTTACACTTGGAGCAACAGAGAACTATCTCACAAGTTGCAGAGCAAAGGAATGCTTTCAGTTCTCATTGTATGTAGAGGTCTGTGAACCAAGTAGAGATTTTTAAAGCCTCTTGTGTGCTCAACGTGTTGTTGAAGGCTTTAATGACCGGAATCACTGGGTTGTTG